GATGCTGATCTCCTGTTATGTCATGATTAATAATTGTATTTCTGTTTTAAGTATTATTTACTATTATGTATTAGATGATGAGATAGCGAGACAATCACGTGACATTCATCATACACTACACCTGGCACAGCCTGACCCACTGATCTGTCAAATTTTAATCAGTAAGATTTCTGAATGTGCTTGTGAGTGGTTTCCACCGCTGTCCATCCAGTGCACACACAGAGGTCTCCCTCTCTAATCCTATGCTTACGCAATCCAGGGGGCTGCAAGGATCAGCAACACCAGGGTAACACAGCTTGCCAACTAAATCAGATCTCATTATGGAAATATGATGTGTATGTGCAGCAGTGTATATGAGGAGGTATGTCAACGTTTCAACTGGCAAGGAGGATAAATGACACACAGAGGGCGAGGACAAGAGGGGGAGGGGTGAAGGGTGGAGAATGGGCGGAGAAAGGGGCGGAGATCCAGTGAGGCAAACTGTCCTTAATTTGTTTAAGCTGAGGGATTTTTGGATTACCTTTGGCAATCAATCCTGTTACATCGCTATGCAGTGACAGAGGGATGTCTAGTGTGGGTGGGGCTTGTCAGTGTGTGTGTGTGTGTGTGAATGTTTAAATGTCAATGTACCTCTGAGTGCACAACTGACAGGCTGAACTCCATGCAGGGCACAAAAGTGCTTAACAGCAAGATTTGATTACCACAGAGGGATATCGTCTCATTTTATTGTTTTTTTTTCCCACAGTGATAGAAAGGGATTTGGCAGAGGATAAACCCAGCTTTTTTATTTGCACTTTATTTCACTGAGGTACATTCACAGTATGCCTCACCAAAAGTAAAAGCTGAAACAATCATTTTACTTTTACAGTTATCACTTTTATTCGAGTAGCGTGTTGGGAGACATTTAACAGGAAAAGAACAGGTGTAAAGAATTAAAATGAATGATTGCTCACTTGCTGCTTCAGTTTCAGGGTCCTGGTATAGTGATTGTAAGGGCATTGTCACCATGCTTACACCTCTGCTCTTCCTTTGGGTCAGTGCCTGCAGTCCACAAGAGTAATGAAATGCCCTGACATCTTTCTTAGGCCATGTCCCTTTTGCTCTCTCTGTTTGCATGTCTGAGTGTGTGTGTGTGTGTGTGCATGCGCACGCACACATAAAATCGGAGGATTATAATGTGCAAGCAATAGCAACAGGGCTAAATTTTACTTCTTTTTTTTGACCAACTGTCATCATGAAAATGATGCAGGGAGGACAACAGAAGAGGAAAGGGAAAAAGAGAAAGGATGCAGGAGAGGGATAAGGCCAACACACACACACACACACACACACACATATATTTATATATATGTATAAATATAAAAATCAAGCTTTCAATGAATGAAAACTTGGAGGAAAATTTGGAGGATTTTACATTACTATGTGTTGCTATTAAAATATAAGTAAAGGATGTCTGCAGTCACTGGAATTTCTCACTAACACTCTACTTCACCAAACCCTTTACAAAACAAAACCTCTCTTCCTTGATGAAGACGTTACTTTTTGTTGTTAGTTGTTATCTAGAAAACATGGCGTAAATGGGCAGGTGACAGGCAGAAGAGTGAAAAGATTAGTGGGATTACAGCCAGGTGAAAGGTCAAACAGGTTGCTTGAAAAGACTTGCTTGAAAGAAAGAGAAACCGGAAGAAGAAATATTTTGGACAAGAAAGGGTTAATATGTGGTTAACTTCAGGAGTTCAGCCTTCATATCACTGGTCACTAAGTCTGGTTGAAAATAACCAAACGCTGCTCTCATTGTTTTCACAGAGCAGCAATGCGATTGGTCAGTGTGGCGGGGGCGCGGCTCCGCAGGGCAGCCGAGGAGGAGGAAAAGGAACCCCCACCTCCCCCACCCTCCACCCACCACTCCAATCACCAGTTTGCTAGCATGAAGAACAAGTTCTTCAACGAGCTCACACACCTGCCAAGTAAGCAAACTCACACAAATGTACACATACATGTATAACATACATAAAATACTGATTAAAGATAATGCAAACACACTGATGATGGGCATGTGCATTTATTTAAATTGCCTGCCTGCAGCTGCTCTGGAGCAAATCTTGCATCTGAGAAAATAACCTGAAAAACAAATCATGGCGACTATACATCTGAGAGCCTGCATTGGAAACAAGAGACAAAACATCACAGTGCTTTTCCCTAAACTGTTTCTTATCATACCATCAATTATCCATCCTCCTATCTCATTTTCATGTGTTGTGTCTCATCATTTTCATTTTATGCTCTCTCATTTCTTCATGTGTCCTTGCTGTTCTACTCTCCAAGATCATAAACTCAAGAGTAAGTCCATCTCATATCTTGTACCATTCTGTTTTTATTGTTTTAAAACAAGACATGCAAAGTCTCCTCCTGGTAAAATGCAGCTCCATTTAGCCACTCATATAATAATTGCAAATTCAGTTTATTCAAGACTGGAGATTGAGGCCACACTCTGCAGTGCAAACACTAAAGAAACAGTTTAAATGAGGCATTAAGACTAGTGATATCCTGAATGACGTAGTTAAACCCTCAAGGGTTTTACATGACACAAACAAAAAAATTAACAAATACATGTAGGACCAGCATTTAGCTATATAATTAGAGCTTAATTTAGCTAAATGTACTTACATTCAGCCAGTTATGGTTTATTTGGTGAGAAGCTCAAAGTGGAGAAAGAACCAATGATACTAGTAAAATCACAAATACAGATGGGTAGGGATTGGAGATCATGGTTGGTGGTGTGAGCCCACCAAGGGAGGCTTTACACTGAAATGAAAAAAGATATATTGTCAAGAATGAAAAAACTATGCCCTATGATGACACAATGATGCCAAAAAAATCCAGATGCAGATGGTAGGAGATTGGAGTTTGAGGCCCCGCCCATTCCTGCCAAGCAAGTCTCTGTGGCGCAATCGGTTAGCGCGTTCGGCTGTTAACTGAAAGGATGGTGGTTCAAGCCCACCCAGGGACGTTTTAAAAATGACAGTAACATGTTGTCAGCATGTATGATGTCACAAGAACTGAGTGCAGTATTCATGAAATGTTACCAGTTGCGATATGCCCAATGAGAGGGAGATATACCCGGGCCAGGCAAAAACTCAAGTCGGGATTCGCAAATTAACTGGGAATTGGTTTATACCTTGGCAGAGGCGGCTTTTATTTCTGAGATCTGATCAAAGACGAGAGCAGGATCTAGACACAATGATGCAACAAAACGCCAGACGCAGATGGTAGGAGATTGGAGTTTGAGGCCCCGCCCACTCTTGCCAAGCAAGTCTCTGTGGCGCAATAGGTTAGCGCATTCGGCTGTTAACCGAAAGGATGGTGGTTCAAGCCCACCCAGGGACGTTTTAAAATGACATTAATAAGGACATGTTATCTGCTTGTGTGATGTCAAAAGAAATTTAACACAGTATTCATGAGTTGTGATATGCCCAATGATAGGGACATATCCCCAAGCCACGCAAAAACTCAAGTTGGAATTTGCAAATTAATTGGGAATTGGCTTTATACCTCGGCACAGGGGTTTTTATTTCTGAGACCTGATCAAAGACAAGGGCAGGATCTAGACACAATGATGCAACAAAAATCCAGATGCATATGTGTGGAGATTGGAGTCTGAGGCCCCGCCCACTCCTGCCAAGCAAGTCTCTGTGGCGCAATCGGTTAGCGCGTTCGGCTGTTAACCGAAAGGATGGTGGTTCAAGCCCACCCAGGGACGTTTTAAAAATGACAGTAACATGTTGTCAGCATGTATGATGTCAAAAGAACTTAGTGCAGTATTCATGAAATGTTACCAGTTGTGATATGCCCAATGAGAGGGAGATATACCCGGGCCAGGCAAAAACTCAAGTCGGGATTCGCAAATTAATTGGGAAGTGGCTTTATACCTGGGCACAGGTGTTGTTTATTTCTGAGACCTGATCAAAGACGAGGGCAGGATCTAGACACAATGATGCAACAAAAATCTAGATGCAGATGGGTGGAGATTGGAGTCTGAGGCCCCGCCCACTCCTGCCAAGCAAGTCTCTGTGGTGCAATCGGTTAGCGCGTTCGGCTGTTAACCGAAAGGATGGTGGTTCAAGCCCACCCGGGGACGTTTTAAGATGACCTTAATAAGGACATGTCATCAGCTTGTGTGATGTCCAAGAAACTTAACACAGTATTCATGAGATGTTACCAGTTGTGATATGCCCAATGATAGGGACACATCCCCAAGCCACACAAAAACTCAAGTTGGAATTTGCAGATTAATTGGGAATTGGCTTTATACCTCGGCACAGGGGGTTTTTATTTCTGAGACCTGATCAAAGACAAGGGCAAGATCTAGACACAATGATGCAACAAAATCTAGATGCAGATGGGTGGAGATTGGAGTCTGAGGCCCTGCCCACTCCTGCCAAGCAAGTCTCTGTGGCGCAATCGGTTAGCGCGTTCGGCTGTTAACCGAAAGGATGGTGGTTCAAGCCCACCCAGGGACGTTTTAAAAATGACAGTAACATGTTGTCAGTATATATGATGTCAAAAGAACTTAGTGCAGTATTCATGAAATGTTACCAGTTATGATATGCCCAGTGATAGGGAGATACACCCAGGCCAGGCAAAAACTCAAGTTGGAATTCGCAAATTAATTGGGAAGTGCCTTTATACCTTGGCACAGGCGGCTTTTATTTCTGAGACCTGATCAAAGACGAGAGCAGGATCAGCTTGTGTGATGTCCAAGAAACTTAGTACAGTATTCATGAGATGTTACAAGTTGCGATATGCCCAATGATACAGAGGTATATCCTGGCCAAGCAAAATCAGAAGATGAATTAGCTTTATACCTCTACACAGGCAGCGTTTATTTCTGAGATCTGATCAAAGACGAGAGCAAGGTCTAGACACAATGATGCAACAAAACCCCAGATGCAGATGGTAGGAGATTGAATTTTGAGGCCCCACCCACTCCTGCCAAGCAAGTCTCTGTGGCGCAATCGGTTAGCGCGTTCGGCTGTTAACCAAAAAGGATGGTGGTTCAAGCCCACCCAGGGATGTTTTAAGATGACATTAAAAAGGACATGTCATCATCTTGTGTGATGTCCAAGAAACTTAGTACAGTATTCATGAGATGTTACAAGTTGCGATATGCCCAATGATAGAGAGATATCCCCGGGCCAGGCAAAAACTCACGTTGGAATTTGCAGATTAATTGGGAATTGGCTTTATACCTCAGCACAGGCAGCTTTTATTTCTGAGACCTGATCAAAGATGAGGGCAGGATCTAGACACAATGATGCAACAAAACTCCAGATGCAGATGGTAGGAGATTGGAGTCTGAGGCCCTGCCCACTCCTGCCAAGCAAGTCTCTGTGGCGCAATCGGTTAGCGCGTTCGGCTGTTAACCGAAAGGATGGTGGTTCAAGCCCACCCAGGGACGTTTTAAAATGACATTAATAAGGACATGTTGTCAGCCTGTGTGATGTCAAAAGAAACTTAGCACAGTATTCATGAGATGTTACAAGTTGCGATATGCCCAATGATACAGAGGTATATCCTGGCCAAGCAAAATCAGAAGATGAATTAGCTTTATACCTCTACACTGGCAGCTTTTGGTTGTGAGACCTGATCAAAGACAAGGGCAAAGTCTAGACACAATGATGCAACAAAACTCCAGATGCAGATGGCAGTAGATTGGAGTTTGAGGCCCCGCCCACTCCTGCCAAGCAAGTCTCTGTGGCGCAATCGGTTAGCGCGTTCGGCTGTTAACCGAAAGGATGGTGGTTCAAGCCCACCCAGGGACGTTTTAAAATGACATTAATAAGGACATGTTGTCAGCATGTATGATGTCAAAAGAACTTGGTGCAGTATTCATGAAACCAATTACCAGTTGTGATATGGCCAATGATAGGGAGATATACCCGGGCCAGGCAAAAACTCACGTTGGAATTTGCAGATTAATTGGGAATTGGCTTTATACCTCAGCACAGGCAGCTTTTATTTCTGAGACCTGATCAAAGATGAGGGCAAAGTCGAGACACAATGATGCAGCAAAACTCTAGATGCAGATGGTAGGAGATTGGAGTTTGAGGCCCCACCCACTCCTGCCAAGCAAGTCTCTGTGGCGCAATCGGTTAGCGCGTTCGGCTGTTAACCGAAAGGATGGTGGTTCAAGCCCACCCAGGGACGTTTTAAAATGACATTAATAAGGACATGTTGTCAGCTTGTGTGATGTCAAAAGAAACTTAACACAGTATTCATGAGTTGTGATATGCCCAATGATAGGGACATATCCCCGAGCCACGCAAAAACTCAAGTTGGAATTTGCAAATTAATTGGGAATTGGCTTTATACCTCTACACAGGCAGCTTTTGTTTCTGAGACCTGATCAAAGACGAGGGCAAGGTCTAGACACAATGCCCACCCAGGGACGTTTTAAAATGACATTAATAAGGACATGTTGTCAGCTTGTGTGATGTCAAAAGAAACTGAGTACAGTATTCATGAGATGTTACCAGTTGTGATATACTCAACAATAGGGAGATATACCCGGCAAGGCAAAAAGTCACGTTGGAATTCACAGATTTATTGGGAATTAGCTTTATCCTCAGCACAGGCAGCTTTTATTTCTGAGACCTGATCAAAGATGAGGGCAGGATCTAGACACAATGATGCAGCAAAACTCCAGATACAGATGGTAGGAGATTGGAGTTTGAGGCCCCGCCCACTCCTGCCAAGCAAGTCTCTGTGGCGCAATCGGTTAGCGCGTTCGGCTGTTAACCGAAAGGATGGTGGTTCAAGCCCACCCAGGGACGTTTTAAAATGACATTAATAAGGACATGTTGTCAGCCTGTGTGATGTCAAAAGAAACTTATTACAGTATTCATGAGATGTTACAAGTTGCGATATGCCCAATGATACAGAGGTATATCCTGGCCAAGCAAAATCAGAAGATGAATTGGCTTTATACCTCTACACTGGCAGCTTTTGGTTCTGAGACCTGATCAAAGACAAGGGCAAAGTCTAGACACAATGATGCAACAAAACTCCAGATGCAGATGGCAGGAGATTGGAGTTTGAGGCCCCGCCCACTCCTGCCAAGCAAGTCTCTGTGGCGCAATCGGTTAGCGCGTTCGGCTGTTAACCGAAAGGATGGTGGTTCAAGCCCACCCAGGGACGTTTTAAAATGACATTAATAAGGACATGTTGTCAGCCTGTGTGATGTCAAAAGAAACTTATTACAGTATTCATGAGATGTTACAAGTTGCGATATGCCCAGTGATACAGAGGTATATCCTGGCCAAGCAAAATCAGAAGATGAATGAGCTTTAAACCATCTACACAGGCAGCTTTTGTTTTTGAGACCTGATCAAAGACGAGGGCAAAGTCTAGACACAATGATGCAACAAAACTCCAGATGCAGATGGTAGGAGACTGGAGATTGAGGCCCCACCCACTCCTGCCAAGCAAGTCTCTGTGGCGCAATCGGTTAGCGCGTTCGGCTGTTAACCGAAAGGATGGTGGTTCAAGCCCACCCAGGGACGTTTTAAAATGACATTAATAAGGACATGTTGTCAGCATGTATGATGTCAAAAGAACTTGGTGCAGTATTCATGAAAGCAGTTACCAGTTGTGATATGGCCAATGATAGGGAGATATACCCGGGCCAGACAAAAACTCACGTTGGAATTTGCAGATTAATTGGGAATTGGCTTTATACCTCAGCACAGGCAGCTTTTATTTCTGAGACCTGATCAAAGATGAGGGCAAAGTCTAGACACAATGATGCAACAAAACTCCAGATGCAGATGGTAGGAGATTGGAGTTTGAGGCCCCACCCACTCCTGCCAAGCAAGTCTCTGTGGCGCAATCGGTTAGCGCGTTCGGCTGTTAACCGAAAGGATGGTGGTTCAAGCCCACCCAGGGACGTTTTAAAATGACATTAATAAGGACATGTTGTCAGCATGTATGATGTCAAAAGAACTTGGTGCAGTATTCATGAAAGCAGTTACCAGTTGTGATATGGCCAATGATAGGGAGATATACCCGGGCCAGGCAAAACTCACGTTGGAATTTGCAGATTAATTGGGAATTGGCTTTATACCTCAGCACAGGCAGCTTTTATTTCTGAGACCTGATCAAAGATGAGGGCAAAGTCGAGACACAATGATGCAGCAAAACTCTAGATGCAGATGGTAGGAGATTGGAGTTTGAGGCCCCACCCACTCCTGCCAAGCAAGTCTCTGTGGCGCAATCGGTTAGCGCGTTCGGCTGTTAACCGAAAGGATGGTGGTTCAAGCCCACCCAGGGACGTTTTAAAATGACATTAATAAGGACATGTTGTCAGCTTGTGTGATGTCAAAAGAACTTGGTGCAGTATTCATGAAAGCAGTTACCAGTTGTGATATGGCCAATGATAGGGAGATATACCCGGGCCAGGCAAAAACTCACGTTGGAATTTGCAGATTAATTGGGAATTGGCTTTATACCTCAGCACAGGCAGCTTTTATTTCTGAGACCTGATCAAAGATGAGGGCAGGATCTAGACACAATGATGCAACAAAAATCCAGATGCAGATGGGTGGAGATTGGAGTTTGAGGCCCTGCCCACACCTGCCAAGCAAGTCTCTGTGGCGCAATCGGTTAGCGCGTTCGGCTGTTAACCGAAAGGATGGTGGTTCAAGCCCACCCAGGGACGTTTTAAAATGACATTAATAAGGACATGTTGTCAGCCTGTGTGATGTCAAAAGAACTTATTACAGTATTCATGAGATGTTACAAGTTGCGATATGCCCAATGATACAGAGGTATATCCTGGCCAAGCAAAATCAGAAGATGAATTAGCTTTATACCTCTACACAGGCAGCTTTTGTTTTTGAGACCTGATCAAAGACGAGGGCAAAGTCTAGACACAATGATGCAACAAAACTCCAGATGCAGATGGTAAGAGATTGGAGTTTGAGGCCCCACCCACTCCTGCCAAGCAGGTCTCTGTGGCGCAATCGGTTAGCGCGTTCGGCTGTTAACCGAAAGGATGGTGGTTCAAGCCCACCCAGGGACGTTTTAAAATGACTTTAATAAGGACATGTTGTCAGCATGTATGATGTCAAAAGAACTTGGTGCAGTATTCATGAAAGCAGTTACCAGTTGTGATATGGCCAATGATAGGGAGATATACCCAGGCCAGACAAAAACTCACGTTGGAATTTGCAGATTAATTGGGAATTGGCTTTATACCTCAGCACAGGCAGCTTTTATTTCTGAGACCTGATCAAAGATGAGGGCAAAGTCTAGACACAATGATGCAACAAAACTCCAGATGCAGATGGTAGGAGATTGGAGTTTGAGGCCCCACCCACTCCTGCCAAGCAAGTCTCTGTGGCGCAATCGGTTAGCGCGTTCGGCTGTTAACCGAAAGGATGGTGGTTCAAGCCCACCCAGGGACGTTTTAAAATGACATTAATAAGGACATGTTGTCAGCATGTATGATGTCAAAAGAACTTGGTGCAGTATTCATGAAAGCAGTTACCAGTTGTGATATGGCCAATGATAGGGAGATATACCCGGCCAGGCAAAAACTCATGTTGGAATTTGCAGATTAATTGGGAATTGGCTTTATACCTCAGCACAGGCAGCTTTTATTTCTGAGACCTGATCAAAGATGAGGGCAGGATCTAGACACAATGATGCAACAAAAATCCAGATGCAGATGGGTGGAGATTGGAGTTTGAGGCCCTGCCCACACCTGCTAAGCAAGTCTCTGTGGCGCAATCGGTTAGCGCGTTCGGCTGTTAACCGAAAGGATGGTGGTTCAAGCCCACCCAGGGACGTTTTAAAATGACATTAATAAGGACATGTTGTCAGCCTGTGTGATGTCAAAAGAAACTTATTACAGTATTCATGAGATGTTACAAGTTGCGATATGCCCAATGATACAGAGGTATATCCTGGCCAAGCAAAATCAGAAGATGAATTAGCTTTATACCTCTACACAGGCAGCTTTTGTTTTTGAGACCTGATCAAAGACGAGGGCAAAGTCTAGACACAATGATGCAAC